GTAATCTGTAATCTTTTACACGTTCGCTTTCTCTCAGGCCACGGTTCATCTCATGAGTTTGCCTATCGCAGGTCGGCTCGTGGGTTGCAGCTAGTTGGCCTAGCCACCCTTGAAAAAAACACGGCAGTCGAGATTGTGCAGAGAAGAGCTGCAGTTCATTTGCTGGCGTGGGGGCCCACATCTTTCTGGGTCAGGAGACAAAAGAGAAATTGTTGTCGCTTCGCGAATCCCCACCAGCCCATCCAGAAACGATGCCCAGAGGAATTGCCTCGATCAGAGAAGTGGGCAGCACACAGAGGAAGCCATTATGAGACATCTTGGGATATCTTGAGCCATCTTGGAGGTCATTTTGGGCTCTCCCAGACGCTCTTGGAGTCATCTTAATCCGTGCCCCCCCCCAAGAGGCCTCCATGTGGCTAAAACCTGTGTAGAATCAATGATTAGGCATTCTCGCCGAGGCCTCTTGGAGCATCTTGGGTGCATCTGGGGGGGCTCTTGGGGCCTCTTGGGGGTCTCTTGGGGGCCTCCGGGGGGCCTCTTGGGGGCCTCTTGGGGCCATTTTGGGGCCATCTTGGGACCTCTTGGGGCTTCCTGGGCGCTTCTTGGGGCCATCTTGGAGGAGATCGATCAAACAAGAGGGGGGGTTTAATTAGCGTCCCCCCTCGGAAGCCCCTAAAATCGCCTCTTGGACCCCTCTTGGAACGCTCTTGGAGTGCTCTTGGGCGCTCTTGGGGCCGTCTTGGGGCTCTTTTGGGGCTCTCTTGGGGCCCTCTTGGGCCATCTTGGAACCATCTCCAGGCCTCGGATGGCCATCGGAAGCGAAAAGGCGAGAAAGCAAAAATCATTGATTTTCCTTAGGTTTTGGGACGATTTTGGCCTCTTCGGGGCCTCCTTGGGGAGCTGTTTGGCCACTTGGAGTTATCTTGGGGCCGTCTTTGGGCTTCTTGGAACCATCTTAGGAGCCATCTCGAGCGATCTTGCGCTATCTTGAGCCATCTTGGAGCTCATCTTGGGTTCTCTGAGGCGCTCTTGGAGCCGTCTTGGGCCATCTGGGACGCTCTAACTACCCGCGGCCCCCCCCGTCCAGGTCCAGGGGAGGGGGTAGGGGGAGGGGTAAACCCCTCCCCAAGGGGGAAGAGGGAGGGGTGGAAGAGGATCTGCTCTAGACCACCTACGCCCAGAGGGCTGGTGGGATATTTGCAGTCAGCGGGAGCAGTTCCCTGCTTGGACTGCTCTGTGGTGGGTCGAGCCCACGCACTTCTGCGGGGCGGCGAAACTCCAGGGCCAGTCTTTCCGGACCGCCGCGGAGCTCCCGAGGGGCGCTGCGGGACCAGTACGTGGCATGCAATGGCGACGCTCTCGCGCGAGACAGGGGCGGGATCGCGGCGAGGGCGGGGCACTCGGCGAGGAGTCGAGCTGCGGAGAACGGCCCCTGGCCGTCAGTTCGCGCCGACGCGGGAAATGGGAGCGGGCGCATCATGGGAGGTGTCGTCGCGCGGAGGGGGGGGTCCGCCAGCGCTGCGCAAACTCCCGGGCGACCTCCAGCCAGACGTGGTGGGGGTTGGCTCCCGGGATGGTTTTTGCAGGGTGCGGGGCCGTCCAGGAACCCGATGGCCAGAGGCTCCAGGAGGCTGGCGGTGTCAGACGTGGCGGTGGTCCTGGGACGGTTTTTGCAGGGTGGGGGGGGGGTCCCGTGGCGGTTTTTGCAGGGCGCTCTCGCGCGTGCGCCCTCGGCGCTCAGGAATCACGCTCTCGCTTTGGCTTTTCTCACGATTTAAATTGGAATCGCGCTATCGCTGGAGACTCCCTCGCAATTCATGCAGGACCCACGCTTCAGCAACCCGCCTGCACGACTGTGTCGCCTGGCCGGCCTTCCCGACCTGCCCGCTATTGGTCTGCCTACCCGATCTGCCCGTCTGATCATACCACTTGTTTTCTGCTCCTTGCCCCCCTCCTGCTACCACCCGTCCTCTATTCTTTTGGTTTAGGGGCTGCACTGGATGCACATGGCAAGTAAGGAAGATATGCCCCCAAGGGGGTGCGATCAAATTGATTGGCACACACATATATGCGCATCGAATGGCACGTGAGCAACTAGGACAGAACAGTCTTAACATGAAAATTGCTGTTGTTGTTGAACTCCCATTTCTGAAGAATAATTATTGTTGATCCCCCGTCCTGTGCACATGTCTTTGTTTAAATGAAGTGCCCTTCCCGGGGCTCGCACCTTGTTTATCAGGGAAAGTCTTGAGGGTCTAACTGTGTCGTTGGCCCCTGGCTTACAACAACAACAACAACAATAACAACAACGGCTCCCGCCTGATACGTCCTCACAATTTTTCGAAGAATCGCGCTCTCGCTTGGGATTTCCTTGCGATTTACCACCGGATCGCGGCTCCCGCTTGATACTTCTTCGCAATTGATTCAAGAATCGCGCTCTCATTTGGGGCTTCCGCGCTCCTCTCGACACGGTTGCAGTTCACGCTATCCTTCCGCCCCACTCTCCCAACATCCCGCTTCTTTTCAGGGTTCCACGAAATTTGTTTCTGACACCAGTTCGCAGCTGTACGTCCTCCCGTGGGGGTATCCACGATATGTTCTTTCAGGGGGGTGGTGCGTGGCGCTGTTTATGGCGCGACCCATGGCGAAACTTATTGTTAACCTGTGTTGGAGTGGCTGGCGCAAGCCATAGCGCAATTTGAATTGCCACTCGCAGCGCAAATCATCGTCCTCACTCCTTCTTGCCCCTCCCCTCCCTTCCTCCGATCCCTTCGTCCTCGCCCTCATCTGTTATCAGTTCCCTTCGTTTTCAAGGTCTTCACCAACCACGCGTGGCAGGGAATGGATGTACCCCCAAGAGGGGCACGATCAAAGACGAAGGGGGCGGGTATCCAGGGTTTGGGGCGTGCATATTGACTGACACGCGATCAGCTAAGAGCGAACAGTCTTAAACTGAGTGTTGTTGTTATTGTTGTTGAATTGTCTGTTGCTGAATATTAATTACTGAACAATGATTGTAGTTGAACCCCTTACAAGCGCCCTGGCGCTCTCGCCGAGGCGCTGGCTGCATTTTCTTGAAAAAACGAGAAAACTTCGGTTTTGGTTTTCCCGCCAAAACTCCCCCCCCCCCCCCCCCCCCCCCCCCCCCCCCCCCCCCAGCAACAACAGTGCTCCCGCTCGAGACCTCCCATTTTTTTACTCGGGGCTGGTGTTCTTGCTCGCCGCCGAAAGCCACCGTCCTAACAAAGCCAGCGCTCCCGCTCGAGACTTCCTCCCGTTTTACCTTGGAGTGGCGCGCGAGTTTTCTCTTATCGTCGACGCTTCCTCACTTTTTTACTCAAGGCGGTGCTCCTCCCCGCCGCCGAAAACCGCTGCCCCGACAAAACCAGCGCTCCCGCCCGAGACTTCCTTCCGTTTTACGCTGGGCTGGCGTCCAGCTCTCTTTTGAATTGGCGCGGCTCCCAGCACTAACAACGCTCCCGCCCAAGACTTCTTCCCGCTTTACGTTGGACTGGCGCCCTACTCTCTTTTGAATTGGCGCCGCTCCCAGCAAGAACAGCGCTCCCGCTCGAGATGTCCTCCTTCTTCCTCGGGGCGGTGCCGTTCCTCGCGGCCGACAGCCCCCGTCCCGACAAAACCACGGCTCTCGCTCGATGTTTCCTCCTTGTTCACTCAAGGCTGCGATCCTCGCCGCCGACAGCCGCCGTCTCAACAAAACCAGCGCTCCCGCTCGAGACTTGTTTTTTTTTTTGTAATACTGGACTAGCGCCCTATTCTCTTCAGAGTTGGCGCCGCTCCCAGTAACAACAGCAGCCCTGCTCGAGACTTCCTCCCTTTCTATTCAGGGGCAGGTCCTTGCCTCACCGCCGACAGCCCCCTCCCCACCAAGGCAACCCTGTCGTTCGATACTTCCTTGTGCTTCACCCGGTCGCTGGGGTTCCACTGGCGGCCTCGCATCGGCGCAGCAAGGCGCGGGCATGTGTTTTCGAGGCGGGATTTGTTGAAATTTCCCGGAGGAGGTGCCTACAAGACCTCATCGGACGGGAGATCTGGGAATGGGAATAACGGGCCGCGGTACAGAACAATACTCCCCCATGATGTGGATGGTTATCTTGATGGTCGCATGTTTCGTGTGGAAACATCGCGCGCGAGGGTAAATGTATTGTTGTTGTTGGTTCGCCACTTTTAAAACATATGTTTTTTTTTGATCTCTGAAACGGTTCCGCGCGCTCTCGCCTTGACGCCAACTACATTTTCTTTGAACAAACAGGTTCCCGTTCGAGCGTTTGCTTGAACCCACATGTTGGCCCTAGGAGGCCCAGCTGCGACAACAACGGCTCCCGCTCGATATTTCCTTACAATTTACCTTCCACCGAGACACCCTGCCAGAGAGGCCCCCGAACTCAGGAACGGCCCTCTCGCTCGAGACTTCCTCGCAATTCAAGTAAGTTGGCGGAGGCCCAGCCACGACGACAAGGGCTCCTGCTCGATACTTCCTCACGGTTTACTCCGAGAGCCCCTGGCCAAGAAGGCCACCGAACTCAGGAACGGCGCTCTCGTTGGATACCTTCCCGTATTTTAGGCAAGTCAGTGGATGCCCTCGTTTGGTATTTTTCGATAGGTATTCCGAGAGCCCCTGGCCAGAGATGCCCCCGAACTCAGGAACGGCGCTCTCGCTCGAGGCGTCTTCGCACTTCAGTCTGTGGACGGCAAGGAACATATCCCCCCCGAGAAAGGGGTGCAATCGAAGGCGAAGTGGGCGGGTTATCGAGGGTTGGGGTCTACGAAGTGCAAGACACGCGTGCTTAACATTGTCGTTGTTGTTGTTGTTGTGGTTGTTGCTGATGTTGCTGTGTTGCTTGTTATTGTTGTGGTTGTTGTTGTTGCTGCTGCTGCTGCTGTTGTTGTGGTTGTCGCTGCTGTTGTTGTGGTTGTTGCTGTTGTTGCTGTTGTCGTCGTCGTCGTCGTCGTCGTCGCTGGGGCGGCGCCGAGCGGTGCAGGCCGAGATCGCCGCGTGCAGGGAGGAGACCGCGGAGACGAAGCGGAAGCGGATCGAGCTGGAGGCCGCTCGGCGGCGCCTCGCGCCTCCCCGGGGGGAGGGGCAATTGCCGGGAGGAGGCATCACTCCTAGGAGGACACGTGCGGGGAGGAGGAGGAGGAGGAGGAGGAGGAGGAGGAGGAAGAGGAGGAGGAGGAGGAGGAGGAGGAGAGGAGAGGAGAAGGAGGAGGAGGAGGTGGAGGAGGAGGAGGGACAGAGGGGGGAGGAGGGAGGATGAGGAGGGAGAGAGGGAGAGAGGGCGCGAAGGTAATCGTGCGCAGTGAGGGCTCGCCATGGTTGTGGTTAGCTCGATCTTTGGGCGCCGCGCGTGGAATTATGTGCGCACTATTGTTCGCCGTGTGGGATATCGTTTGCAAGGCCGGTGCCATGACAACAGGGACGCAAGAGCGAGGGCAGGAGGGGCCCCAATAGGAGGAGGAGGAGGAGGAGGAGGAGGAGGAGGAGGAGGAGGAGGAGGAGGAGGAGGAGGAGGACCGTAGCCATTTTGGCTCAAGGCTAAACGTTGTGAAGGGCTATAGACGCCCGAGAATCAGCGATTAGCTTTGCGGCCCGTCCGTAGGCCGCTCTCGAGACCATTTCGGCCTTCAGGAGGCCACCGATTTCGCGACCTCTCGGACCAGTCATTGGTTGGGTGCCGTCTACCAGCGTAGACAGGCGACGATGGCGCGCCCCAGTCGGTCCGACCTCGAGGCGCTGGCGGCTTGTGAATTCGCCCCCACCTTCCCGACGCAGGAGCGCAGAGGTGCAACGACGCGTGGTCCCGAGCATGGCCCTGGCGGCTCGGGCACTCCTGTTCGTCGGCGTGACACTCCTATTGCTGATGAACGAAGCCGCTCTCCTCACGATGAAGACTAACGTGCCCCACATGGAGACGACATACGAGATTACGTGGACCACACCCGTGACTCGATCATGGACTCCCTCGGAAGACTTCAAGCATCCATGGGGGACATCGCAAAGCAGGTGCAGAAATCATGTACCGATCTCATTGTGCAGGTCGAACGTCGGCTCGCCGACGTTGAGCGGCACCAGCAGCAGACCGACTCCAACGTCCAGCGCCTGTCCGAAAAGACCGAACGGCTCGAGCAGATCCTGGGCATCATGCAATCTGAATCACCACCTGCGCGTGTGGAAGACTCCAGCTTCGATCGAGATCCAGATCCAACGGTACTTGTCCTGCGAGCCAAGTCTATGCTACCTAAGGCCAATATCGACAATGACGTGGTGCAGCCCATCCTCGAGAAAACAATATCAACCCAGCAGATGTACTCCTGGAAGGAGATTCCGCTGCCCGCCGATTCGTTCTTAGGATCAAAGGTAATGCGCAGCTGGCCGCCAGACGCGTTCGGCAAATCACGGGAATATTCAAAATTTCGGCATCCCAATGGCAGCGTTTCTCCACGGCCGACACCACCGGTGCGACAACCGAAGTGTACATCTCCAGGGACAAGTCCCAGAACCAGGTGCAAACGGAGCTCCTCACGAAGAAGCTCAAGGCGACGCTCTCGGAGCTCTACCCGACCCTCCAGTTCCACGGCAACCGTGATCGCGGCGAGATCTCCACGCAGTGGAAGCCGCTGGTTTGTGCCACTCCCCAGCCAGGACAGGGCTCCGAGCCGACTCTCGAATTCGTCCACACCAACCTGGCTCAGTTCGGCTTCAGCGCCGACCAGATCCGCGCCAAGTTCAAGCTGCTCGCCCCGCCTGCAGAACCCGTTCAGTGGCGTGTTTAACCCGATTCTAGCCGCGTGGTGCGGACGTTCTTCCTCTCCTGCTCCGATCTCTGTGGGGGCGTGGACTGGGCAAGCCTTATTCCATCATAAATACCGAGTTCGGACCAGGAAGATCAATTACATGAAGAAGCTTCTGGGCAAAGGTATGATTCTCGGGATCCAGGAATCTCATGGGGCCTTGGATGAGCTCAGGGACCTGCTCTACCACATCCACCTCCCTACCCAGGCCTACTACTCGTTTCCGTTTCTGCCAGCCTCGCCGCATGCCGCGGGGGGAGTGATCGCATTCATTCCCGATTTTGATATCACGCATGCTGCAGACGACAGGCCTTCGATTTCGGAACGAAGTTTGGTCCAGGGGCGTGCTTTGAATGTTCGAGTTTTGTTTCCTAGCGGGGTCCTCATCTCGCACCTCAACATTCATAGCCACGGTCTGTCGTCTCAGCAGCGCGTCGAGATCCTAGATGCTATCGCCTCCGACCTCTCCCTGGCCTCCGCGGACCCCCTCAAAGCCTTCATCATCGTTGGCGGGGGCTTCAACTTCTCTGAGGACTCCTCTGTGGCGCTCGATTGCTTTGAAAATTTGGATCCCTCTGGTTACTCGGTTCCTGTGGAGCCTTCTATGAGCCCTTCCCAGCGACGGACTGGGAACGGACGTCTGGGTTCGGACGGACTGGCTTGGAATCGTGTCCTGGGACAGATGACTGAAATCCAGCTTCAGGAACCTACCCATCACTGCGTCGCACAGGGGGCCCTGCGGAAATTGGATAGGATTTATGTGTCAGCGCCAGGGTGGAGCCTTACTCAGTGGTGCACTGGCGGCAGGGTGCACGGCAGCCCTGAGGTGCTCAGCCGCGCTCGCATCTCAGATCATGCTGCCGTCTCCGCTACCTTTTCCGCTCGATCGTCGAAGCTGCCAGGAGAACAACCCATCTACCAGGACATCTTTAGGAGACACGAGTACCAGAAATTCATCCAGAACGTCCTCGAACAGGTCGACGACTCCGAGTTGTCCCCTCCCTTCCGCCTCGCCTTCCACAAGGAAATCATGATCGAAGCTGCTCGGCGCGCTCGCGATCGACTCCTCCGATTTCGACGTCACGATCCCCTCTCGAGATGCATCGCCGTTCGCACCATCGCTCGAGCTGTATGGGGGCAGAACGTGCTGCTGGCCCAGAAGATTATGGCGTCTCGCCCGTTAGGCGCGCTGTTTCTGGTCGTCGATCCGCTGACCGCGCAGGTCTCGATCAATGACCCTGCCAACTTCGCGGCGTTGGCCGCAGAGATCCACGCAGCTATGTTCTCTAGAGCCCAGTCGGAGACAAGGCAGAGGCTCCAGCAGGACAACTCAGAGACCGTTAGGACCAAGCTCAAGAAGCGCCTCCGCAGCCTCATTACCCGTTCTCGTCTGTGGGCCACATTTGGTCGAAAGCTGCCCCTGCAAGGGATCCGTGACCCCCTTCCTCATCATGGCCAAGAACATTCGGGCCCCCACAATAGAGTTCGAGCTGACCCTGCTGGAATGCTCTCTAGCCTCTCCGACTACTGGGGCCAGATTTTCTCAGAGAAAGATGTAGACCGAGCCGCCGCCTTCCAGTGCATCAATCGGTTTAAGCCAGCTGTTGACCTGTCAGGTTTGCCACCTCCTACTGAACGTGACATAACCCGCTTCCTGGAAAACGTTGCCCCGAGCGCTCCAGGACCCGATCAACTTCCGCACATCGCATGGCGTTCACACCCCAAAGGAACCCAAGTTTTATATGCTGCGCTCTCCTGGGCTTTGGATGGCAAGCCTCTGATCTTTGGCTTCAATGCGATGCTGGGAGCGTTCCTGGCCAAGGGCGACGAGCCTGGCGACGAGGATACAGTGACCCGAGATGCTTCGGCCACCCGGCCTCTCGGTTTGAAAAACACGGACTGTAAGATCCTGACGACGGTTTGTGAAACCCTTGAGTCGGCCCCTCCCCGACTTCATCGCTAAGGCCCAGCGGGGCTTCGTTCCCGCGAGCGCGCGCAAGCTCGGATCATTTCGATGCTGCCAGAAGCGAACGACAGGTTACCCGCCCTGGTATCATTCGACTACGGACAGGCGTTCCCATCGATCTCCCAGTTTTGGATCGTCCTCGCCCTCAAATCGCTCAACATCCCCGCCCCGCTTCGTCTGATCTTAGAAATGATCTACCAGTTCGTGCTCTGCTACGGGAGGATCGGAAGCGAATGCCGTTACATGTACACAATACTGTCAGGCATCGTTCAGGGGTGCCCAGCCAGCGGATGTCTCTATGCAATAGAATAGCGAGCCACCCGTTCGTCGAGCATTTCGATTCGCTGATCGAGAAACGTGGGCTAGGCATGAGTAGACCATGCGCCGACGATGTAGGAAGTGACGTACACCAAATTAAAGTTTTGAGGCAACTATACACTGTCTTTCGGGCGTCAAGGCGGGTGGCTAACTTAGAGCTTAAGCACAAGAAATGTAAGATAGTTCCGCTAGCTGGCCCTTTCTCAGAGCCCTTGGCCAGACGGTAACGCGACTGGCTCCAGATTCATTTGCCCGACTGGGCGGAGTTTCAGGTGGTCAATCGGCTTCTGTACCTCGGGATTTTCATGGGCCCATCGGCGGCCCCGTCTCCGTGGGGCGCCCCTGTAGCGAAATGGGCTCAACGTAGTTCGGCCATAGCTTACATCGGCGCTCCATCGGCCGCAACTGCTTTTCAATGCTCTTCTCGTGCTCTCAGCTGTTTGGGGTACGTCGCTCAGTTCGCTCCGCTTCCCCATTCAGTGATTGCAATAGAGCACGCGCTGCTGGCGGCCCTCTTTAAGCTTCCCCACTTCGCCCTCCCGAGGCGTGACTACTTTATTCTCGAATCCTGGGGGGGGCCCCGCATCAGGAGTGCCCTTGCTGTTTCCTTGGCGTCGCTTATTCGAGCGTCTTTAAGCACGCTCCATGCATGGCGGCAGCAGTTCGACAGACTCCAGGAGGCAGGAGTCTATCTTTCACTCGAAGACATAGGAAAGGGCCGCATGTCTCCCGAATTTTGGGAGGAGCTTCCATTCGTTCAACACCTGCAAGCGGCGTCGCAGGGTTTTCCCGCCACCAATAACAGGAATGCAGGAGCAGCTGCGCTCCAAGCCGCGCAGCAGGCCATGCTCGAGGGAAAGAAGATTCAGCGTGCTGCAGCCGCTGTTTTGACCTCCTCCCTTTTCCCCTCGGACCTCTCTTCGACCTTCGCCTGCCGCCTCTCCCACCTCCTCCCGCAGATCGAGCTCG